GTCCCCAGAGCTGCGGCCTCGGCTTCCTCCGCGAGCCGGCAGCGCCTGAGCCCCCATGGGCACCTGGGGGCGGGGGGGTCCCGTGGCTGCACCCCAAAGGTGGGCGCATTGGGGTGCCGTGGGGTCCCATCACTGTACCCCAAAGGTGGGTGCATCGGGGTGCCGTGGGGTCCCGTGGCTGCACCCCAAAGGTGGGTGCATCGGGGTGCCGTGGGGTCCCGTGGCTGCACTTCAGGGCGGGGCCCATCAGGGTGCTGTGGGGTCTCATTGCTGCACCCCAAAGGTGGATGCATCGGGGTGCTGTGGGGTCCCATCACTGCACCCAGGGCTGGGCCTATCGGGATGCCAAGGGGTCCCCTGGCTGCACCCCAAACGTGGGAGTGTTGGGGTGCTGTGGGGTCCCATTGCTGCACCCCAAAACTGAGCCCATTGGGGTGCCCTGGGGTCCCATCACTGCACCCCAGAGCCAGGTATATCAGGGTGTCATGGGGTGCCATCACTGCACCCCAAAACTAGAGCACATCAGGGTGCCATGGGGTCCCGTGGCTGCACCCCAAAGGTGGGCGCATCGGGGTGCCATGGGGTCCCATCACTGCACCCCAAAGGTGGGTGCATTGGGGTGCTGTGGGGTCCCATTGCTGCACCCCAAAACTGAGCACATTGGGGTGCCGTTGGGTCCCGTGGCTGCACCCCAGGGCCAGGTACATCAGGGTGTCATGGGGTGCCATTGCTGCACTCCAAAACTAGAGCCCATCGGGGTGCCGTGGGGTCCCGTGGGGCCTGGGGGTGTCAGGGCCACCCTGGAGAATTTGGGGCCGTGGTGACGGTGTCCGTCCGGACGCCCGGGTCCCCACTCTGCTTCGCCTGGGGTCATCGGGGTCACGGGGGGCGGGGGGGGTGCCCCCCCCCCGCCGTCCTCCCCCCCCCGCCCCCCTGTGCCTCAGTTTCCCCCCCAGCCGCGCCGTGGAAAGTCGGAAATTTCCAGTGCGTGGGGCCGGGGGGGGCAGGATGCCGGGGGGGCAGGATGCCGGGGGGGCCCCGGCGCCCTTATAACGCTCGGCCGCGCCGCCCGCGCCACCGCCGCTGCCATGCGAGGTAGGGCCCGACACGGGGGGCTGCAGCGGGGGGCACACGCGTGTGCAGGCGTGTGCTCACCTGGGGGTGCGTGCAA